CCCGTAGTCTCTCCTCGTAGCTCATACCTCTCTGCTCGAGTATTACTCTGGTGGCAAACCTTTGAATCTTTTCCAGTTTAGTCTTATGCTTGGCTAGATATGGACTCTATGCTGGAGCCGCATACTCTAGGATTGGTCTGACATATGTGGTATATAATGTTTTGAAAGATTCCTTACACAAGTTTCGTAAGGCCGTTCTTATGTTAGCCAACCTGGCATATGCTGCTGATGTTATCCTCTTGATATGAGCTTCAGGGGACAGGTCTGGCGTGATATCAACCCCCAGGTATTTCTCTCTCTCTGACTCCTGAAGTATTTCATCTCCCAAATGATATCTTGTATCTGGTCTCCTGCTGACTACCCCTATCTTCATTACAATACATTTGCTTGGGTTAAACTCTAACAACCATTTATTCGACCATTCCTGCAGCTTGTCCAGGTCTACTTGAAGCCTCAAGCTGTCCTCCCCTGTCTTAATCCTTCTCAAATTTTGGTGCTGTCAGCAAACATTGAGAGGAATGAGTCTATACCCTCTGGGAGATCATTTACGTACATCAGAAACAGGATAGGTCCGAGTACAGAACCCTGTTGGACTCCACTGGTGACTTCATGCAAATCTGAGGTCTCACCCCTCACTGTAACTCTCTGCTTCCTATTGCTTAGGTACTCCCTTATCCACTGGAGCGCCCTACCAGTTACTCCCGAATGTTTCTTCAGCTTATGCATCAACCTTTTATGGGGTACTGTTTCAAAGGCTTTCCGACAGTCCAAAAAAATGCAGTCCGTCCACCCTTCTCTTTCTTGCTTAATATTTGTCACCTGGTCATAGAATTCTATTAAGCCACTCAGGCAAGATTTACTCTCCCTGAACCCATGTTGGCGCTTTGTCACGAAGTCCCTTCTCTCCAGATGTGTTACCAGGTTTTTTTCTCACGATCTTCTCCATCACCTTGCATGGTATACAAGTCAAGGACACTGGGCTGTAGTTCAGTGCCTCTTGCCTGTCGCCCTTTTTGTATATTGGGACCACATTCGCCACTTCCATATTTCTGGTAGGTCTCCCGTCTCCAGTGACTTACTATACACTATGGAGAGTGGCAAGCAAAGTGCTCCTGCACACTCTTTCAATACCCATGGTGAGATTCCATCCGGCCCAACAGCTTTTCTCACGTCCAGCACCAATAGGTGCTTCTCGACCTCATCTCTTGTAATTTCGAACCTTTCCAAGGTCGCCTGGTTTGCTGCCACCTCTCCTAGCGCCGTGACTTCTCCTTGTTCTATTGTAAAGACCTCCTGGACCCTTTTGTTGAGTTCTTCACACACCTCTTTGTCATTTTCTGTGTACCTGTCCTCACCCGTCCTAAGGTTCATCACCTGTTCCTTCACTGTTGTCTTCCTCCTGATGTGACTGTGTAGTAGCCTTGGTTCGTCTAGGCTTTATTAGCTATATCATTTTCATACTTTTTCTCAGCTGCTCTTCTCACACTAACATACTCGTTCCTGGTTCTCTGGTATCTCTCTCTACTTTCTGGTGTTCTGTTATTACGGAAGTTCCTCCATGCCCTTTTGTTTAGCTCCTTTGCTTTCATACATTCCCTATTAAACCACAGATTCTTCTTTTGCTTCTCTGTTTTTTCCTGTCGGGCCGGGACAAACCTGCTTACAGCCACCTGACACTTTTGGGTGACATAGTTCATCATGTCTTGTACGGACTTGGTTCTGAGTTCTGTGTCCCATTGTATATCCCTTAAGAATTTATTCATCTCCTCATAGTTTCCCTTTCGGTACACCAGCCCTTTGTTTCCCAGTTCTTTTTGGGGGGAGATATTTCCTAGCTCAACCAGGTACTCAAAGCTCAATACACTATGATCACTCATTCCCAAGGGGGCTTCCAACTTAACTTCCCTTATATCCGACTCATTTACGGTAAATATCAGATGAAACAAGGCTGGTTCATCCCCTCCTCTCATTCTTGTCGGTTCCTTGATGTGTTGACTTAGAAAGTTTCTTGTTGCCACGTCCAGCAGCTTAGCTCTCCATGTTTCTGGTCCTCCATGCGGGTCTCTGTTCTTCCAATCTATCTTCCCATGGTTGAAGTCTCCCATAATTAGTAGTCCAGATCCATTCCTGCTAGCAACAGAAGCTGCTCTTTCTATTATGTTAATGGTGGCCATGTTGTTTCCATCATATTCCTGTCTGGGTCTTCTTTCAGGGTCTGTGTGTGTGTGTGTGTGTGTGTGTGTGTGTGTGTGTGTGTGTGTGTGTGTGTGTGCTTGCGTGCGTGCGTGCGTGCGTGCGTGCGTGCGTGTGTGTGAAAGAGAGAGAGAGAGAGAGAGAGAGAAACAGACGCGGTCGGGAGGTGGGTCCTTGGTGCGGTCCAGGAGACTGTGCTTTGCGTGTGTCGTGTGTGAATACTCGGTGATCGTTGTGGATAGTCTACCGACAGTGAGAGCCGCGTTCCCTTAATGATTTTGCGCTGTGTATTTACTGTGTGACCTAGGTAACGCCAGGCGCGGGCAGACCGCCTCCCTCTACCCCCCCCCCCCCTCTCATGCCGAGTCCCACGGGTCAGGTCAGCTGACTGATCTTTCTCTCTCTCTGTTCATATCAAAACCATATTAAGATCTTGAAACCTAGATCTGTCTCTGGATATCTTCCACAGTATTTATGTTGTGTTTTTTGTTATACTACAAGGAAAAAAGAGTTTGTTGAGTGCAAGGAGGATAACTGTCTTAACATTTGCCATACACAGTGCAAGACAGAAACTGACTTCTGCTGTACTCAAGTGCCAGATAACAGGACCCAGCGGGGGATTGTTGATCCTGGGGAGTATGTCACGGTATCTGACTTTGCTACACAGCGAGACCTGAATAATTCCAACCTAGCACACACATGTACTGATCAACAGAATGCTTTTGTTAAGTTTTACAAACTCTCTCAGAAGTATCTCCAACATAGGGAGGCTCTGATTGACATTCTGGGGCTCATTGACTCCTTCAAGGCAGTGTGCGAAAATCAGAACACAGTTTCAACAAAGGACTCAAGCTGCTCTGCACAAAGCGTCGAGGTTGACAGTTTCTGGTCTAATCACATTGCTAGCAACTCCGAGGCTAAAGCTTGGTGGGAATCTATCCAACGTAAAGCTTCACAAGGAGCCTCAATCCACAACTCCGACTCTGCAAATCCTGCTGCAGGTCTTCCAGACAAATCTTTGTGGCAGCCAACACCTTCTGACACCTACCGAATAAATGCACAGCGTTCATATATAACACCCAGTGTGACTTCCACTCCTAACAATTCAGACACACTGGTACCTACATCTGCACCTGTCAATCAACAGGTGACCACAGCACGTGTACAAGGGCCAAATCAAAACTCTACCATCCAGAATAGGCCTAGAGGGGCATAGGCGGGGGTACCCTAACCAGCGTCCTCGGCCTCCACTTCCTCAGCCACAACATAACCAGGCACTGCATCACCAACCTCAACAAGGCCGTATACAACAACACCAGCAGCACACTCAGCACGGGTCTCAACTCTTGAATCGGTGGCTTAGCTCTGGCAGTCAAATTCCCAGCATCATAATAAGGCCTTGCTCTAAATGCAATCGCAGAGGGCATGCGGCTGAAAGGTGTCAGAGTGTTCTCAGGTGCAATCACTGCCACCGAAGAGGTCATCAAGAGGACTCATGTCGAACCAAAATGGATCTGGATAGGCAGGAACAAATGTTTAGAGATCTTATCTTGGATCAATTTAAATTAAGAAATACTCAGACTTAGTGCATACCCTTTCTTGTCAGCACCCTTACTATCCATACCCAAGCTCTGCAGGTGGCGCTGGGCCTTACTTAGCACAGCAGATTTACACACCACAAGCACACCAGCTACGAGGTCTGCCACCATACACAGCTGCTTTCTGAAGCAACACGCAGACATGAAGTGTCTTCGTGTTCAGAATCGATCGATATTCTACATCGATCAGAATACTGGCTGTCAAAATCAGGGGCTCCATTACCGTTGTTGGCGATCTCTCACACAGTCTCGTGAACACTTATCGTCCTGCTGTGGTTGTGTGCTAGATACATTTCTAGATGACAGGACTTCTGAGAACTTTGCTACAATTGTCGGTTATACCTCATGGTTGCACCGAGACAGGCTGGGTCTAGGAGGAGAAGGGGGAAGGGGGGGTTGTAGTGTGCCATCTAGTGCATGCACCCCTTTCCTGGATCGCCTGACCACCCCCCCCCCCCATCATTCATCAAACTGTTGGACAAAGTCTCTAGTCTTAACCAAGTCTGGTGGGATTGTTCTGAACATTAGAGCATGCAACACCATCAGGATGTTGGTGGTCTTACTGTTATGTACAAGTCCAACATCTTTAAAGTTCTGCACCTGACCCAACTCCGTTTACTACTAGTAATTGCCACCCGTAGCACCAGGTCCTCAACCTTAAAAGTCTCCTGCTGGTTGTGCCTTTTTCAAGAACATCACAACAACAGTGATTATTCACTCTTACGCTGACTCGCATCTGGAACTTGTTCGCTCAACAAATTGATACAAAGGAGATCAGGTCCACTGATGACATGAAGGTTCTGGTACACAGATGGCTACAGGCTCATCCTGTTCCTTATATGATTGTTACCTAATGCTGTTAATGAATAAAGGCTATTCCTACTGATGCATATAACAAACTCATGAAATAAATGGGCCTCTAGGAGTAGGTTTAACTTAGCTGAGGTATGATTACAGCTCTTGCTTACAATTTCATCAGGATCCTTATATGATAGTTTCCTAGATGATAGTTTTAAAGTACATTCTCATGAAATAAATGAGTCTCTAGGAGCAGGCTTCAGATGAGCTGAGGTAGGATAACAGCTCTTGCTTGCAGCTTCACAAGGTACGTCATTTGACAGCCCTTATGAACCCCAGTCGTAGTTTAAAAACCAAAACAAAAAATAGCTATTAAATACATTTTGCTACAATTATGAGTGGAACACTTACCTAATACATGTTGGTGAGGTGCAGTGGTAGAGTGTGAGAGCAAGACAAGAGTGTGTGTGTGACCACGGGCTGTGTGGCGGCGTCTGGGGCGGCGACGGCGCGTCACCCGCAGCTCCGCCGGCCGCCTACACTTACCAAACACTCCATTATCCTTCACTTTATATTTCTATAAACATGTAACATAAGTATTACATTCAGAAATATTACGCATATGTCTACGACATTTATAATGATACAATTTAGTAAACATTCAATAATACTTAACCTATTATAACTGTTAAAATATAAATGTACCTAAAGAAGTGTTAGTTTGGTGGGTGCACAGCGTATCTTAGTCCTGTACTGGACGCGGTCTGTCTCACGGTCCTGGCCACATACGTGTGTGGATGTCTTACACACTCATAACTCATATATATATATTATATATATATATATATATATATATATATATATATATATATATATATATATATATATATATATATATATATATATATATATATATATATATATATATATATATATCTATAGCCATCCATCAATTCATCTATTCATCCATGTATCCATCCATATACCATTCTTTCCAACTATATATATCCATCTTTCGATTCATATATCCATCTATATATCCACCTATTTATTTATTCTACTAACCATACATTCCTCTAGCAATCTATCCATCCTACTATCCATCCATCTATTCATCTACCTATCCATCTATCTATCCATCGATAAGTCCATCTTTAAGTCCATCTATTCATGCATCTGTCCATCCATATATCTATCCATGTATCTATCCGTCCATCTGTGCTGCTACCTATCCATCAATCTATATACCTATTTAGTTTTCTATATATCTATCATTTAGCTTTCTATCCGTTAAGCTTTCTATTTATTTATCTATCCATCTAGTTTTCTATCTATTTACCTACTCATCTTTCTATCCATGTATCCATCCAATTGTTTTTCCGTCTATCTCTTCGTCTATCCACCCATCTATCCACCTATTTATATAATATCGGGTATATAATATCGGTATACATATCCTGTGATAGCATCTTACTGGTCAGGTTTTGGAGAGTGAAAGTATTCTTAAAGTCGGCTTAGGATTCATAGAAAATGGTCATAATAATATTATAAGAAAACGGAAAACTTTAAAACATAAACAAATATTTTTCAGTGTGCCACTATTAATGCCAAGAAAAACCCACAGTCAACTTTAAGTGGAGGATAAGTAACAGGATCAAGCTGAGACGGATCGCAACTTCAGCCTCCATATCAACTCGCCATTGGGACGTTCCACTGAAAAATATCAAACAGCGGCTGCCCGTCATGAACGGTGGCAGCAACACCAGCAGCAGTCACAGCAGGAGACGCAGCAGCTGCCCGTCATGAACGGTGGCAGCAACACCAGCAGCAGTCACAGCAGGAGACGCAGCAGCTGCCCGTCATGAACGGTGGCAGCAACACCAGCAGCAGTCACAGCAGGAGACGCAGCGGCTTCAAGAGCAGCTCCAACATGAGAAAAAATCCACTGGCGACATTGCAGGGCTGCTTAAGTGCATGAGGGAACTTGTAAACAGGGACTGACACCCACCCACCCCTGACCCCCCTTCAACCCCTGAACTCTCCAAACAAAGTGTTCCCTTGCCAATCTGGTGAAACTTCTAGTGATCTTGAATCTTTGATTGGAGGAAGCCGTCCACGCAGATTAACTGCTAAAGCTGTGCTAAGCTATACTGAACACAACTCTATAGATAACAGACAGACAAAGTGTACTAAACAATTGGAGGCAAATGTGTTATATTAATAATATGCTAAGAAATGATCCTGGACTTATATCGCAATGAAATAGATAATATATATTAAGTAGACTAATAATATCAATCTATATAATGCTTACTGTAAATGCACAAATAACTAAGTTATCCATCTTAGCTGTAACATTGCGTCCATCAAAAGAAGGTTCTGTGATTTACATCACAAAGTAACAACTGAACACATCGATATTGTATGTCTCCAGGAGTGCAGAGTTCCCGCAAGATCCTCACCCCCGAAATTGCCCTCATTTGTTTCTTACAACCTCAGATCCTGTAACTCTTGCATTCTATACATCAAACAATCCCTACCCCATCAACTTCTGCCAGAAAAGCAAACTGCGGGTCAACAGTATCATGGAGTGAGGATCTATGTGGGCAACTCTGTTCTCAAAGTATTTAATCTATATGCTCCAACAGGAAAGTTAAATTATATTGATCTTCCGGCCTGCGCTCAAGCAGAGCCCACCATCATTCTTGGTGACTACAATGCTAGACATAAGGACATTGGTGGCTCTCGCTTCAGTAACGGGAATGGGAATCAACTGCTGTCGCTACTAAATAGTCGGAACGATATGAAAAGTAATAAACACCATGCCTATTACAATGACCCCAAATTGCGTGCTTTGAAACGGACTGCCACACGAGTTGGACTTGCATATAGGGAAACACGTACGCCAGCAATTCTCAAGTTCTTTCAGAGAGCCCTAGCCAAGGCGAGGGAGCGCATGACAGAGCTCAGGTAAGATAACTGGGAAAGTTTTGTTAACAGTCTCTACTCTCCCCCTCCCCCCCCCCCCACCTCCTCAGGCAGGCAACTCGTGATTCGTGACGTTTATGTATAAGTGTCAGAGATTGTACCTCGAGCTAAGTTTACACATAGTTGATAGAAGAAAGCACACAGTCATTTTGCTTTCAGATGCTTTGCGAGAGTGTACGGGAGTGCACGCACTATGGCTTTCTTAAATATGGGAGCTAGATGTTGTTGGTTGGTGTCTATGAAATACAGACACCCTCAGCGTTCCAGAAAACTTATGGGTGGCCTCCGTAGCATTACTGGGAAAATAGTTATAGCATTTACATAGTTTTAAGCTCCTGTGCCTTGAAGACAATGGGCCAGGGAGTGAGGGGGAATCATAATGGTTCCCCTGGCCTTAGTGTAAACATCGCCGACAGGTTGTGACGTCAAAGTGTCATGTGATTCTTATTGGTAGAGGCACCTATGGGCCTCCATGATGCTTCCACTTGAATGGCCGTCTCCAAGAACATGGGAAGAAGTGTCGAGGGGAGCCGCCAGGAGGCTTGCCGCCATAGAAATTCATTCTGAAACGGGCTTTAGAGGTGGGCAGACGCATTATCGTGACTACGGACAAAGTTACGGGAACTTCCGTCTGAACGCGAGTTCACTAAAGTCCAATATATACATATTACGTCCAAGCATCCCGCATGTCAGACTCCGCGGACTGCGACAGCACGATTATTTATATTTATCAAGATAGGTTCATAGACGAAGTAACTCCATGTGCAGGCGATGAGTCACAATAACGTGGCTGAAGTATGTTGACCAGACCACACACTAGAAGTTGAAGGGACGACGACGTTTCGGTCCGTCCTGGACCATTCTCAAGTCGATTGTGATGAGGACAGATAGAGATAGATAGATAAAGATAGGGACAGGCAATAAATAGGCAAGAGAGAGCTGAGGAGGAAAGTAAGGTGTAGTGGATAGTAGTAATAATGAGAACTGCAGAAGGCCTATTGGCCCATACGAGGCAGCTCCTATTATAACTACCGAAGGAGATAGTAATAGGAATAAGAAGAGGATAGCAAGGGAGCGTAGGAGAAGACAATGCACAGAAAAAGGGAGAAGAGAGAAAGAAAAGGAAAGTGAAAAAGAAAAAGAAAGATAAATGGAAGGGGTAAGCTTATGTTAAGTCACGTTTGTTAGAAAGATTAGAGCATTTGAGTATATACTGTGAAATGGAAGAGTCCACAGCAACAAAGCCAGGACTCAAGTTCATGTTGGGTACATTGTGTATAAGAGCCGATTCTACAAGACGGCGTCTGTGTAGAGTAGAGGCAGGAAAGATTATTTTGGAGGAAGACCAATCAATGGAATGATTAGAATCCCTCACATGGCAGAAGAGAGCATTGTTAGTGTCTGCAGACTTAACACTTCTCTTGTGTTCTTTAAGTCTGTCATTCAGTGTACGGCCAGTTTCGCCAAAGTATTGGAGAGGACAAGATGAACAGGAAATAGAGTAGACACCAGCAGCATTAGAAGCAGGAGGAGCAGTGTGAACTAGATTACTACGAAGTGTGTTAGTTTGTCGAAAGGCGAGTTTAATGTCAAGAGGACGAAAGGTATTGGTAAAAGTTTTGAGTTCAGATATGAAGGGAAGGCATAGTACAATAGTCCCTGTATAATTAATAAGACCTGAAGAAATATTAATGCACTCAATTAATTAAGTTCAGTAAATGACTAGTGAAGAGTAAGTTAAAAATTAAGTCAAAAAATGAAACAAGGAGACTTAGGATACCTAGCCCCACTAGTTGACAAGGGGGTTAATTAAGTTAATTCATTGGGAGTGATAATAAGGTGAGACAAACCACATTGGGAGAGGAAAGTGTTGAGGTTCTCTTCATTAGCAATTGTAAACATTTTGCCCTCTGCGGTCTTTCTCACCTTTATCAATCCATCTCTAACGAAGCACTGATGAACGGCATCTGGGTTTTGATGACGGATTTGACGCAGGCGGTAGAGGAGTTGCTGTCTGTTCCTAGTCAAGCACTCGTTGATGTATAATCCCTTCCGTTGGGATGCAGCTGTCCGGACAAGATGGGATTTCATGGACTGGGAAGTCGGCTTCAGGCGAATTTTCCGCTGGTTTTGACCTGATGGATTCTTTTTGCCTACTCTGTAGGCAGCAATAATGTCAGTTTTGTTTAGAATGACCTGCAATTCGTTTTTATGAGAGTGAAAAGATTACACACTGTTTGGTGTTTACGCTCAATAGCCCAAAACGCCGTGTGCACAATACGCTATTTTTTTTCACGGGGACCGCACACATTAAAGTGATAACACTCTGACGCGTTAACCACTGAACCTCTCGTCGCTCATTTTTCTCCCGATTCCTCTCCGACGACGCTGCGCTGAGTCACTCATTAAAATATTTATTAAAAACTTAAATTTTATCAGATCAATCTGGTAGTGGTTTTAAAATGAGCGCCTTTAGATTGCACACACTTTAGCACCCATATGTCACTTGAGCAGGACACATATTTTTTCCTTGAATGCACCTCAAGAGGTGCATTGAAAAAAATATTTCTATACCATTCTA